CCCCCCCCCAATGCCTCTGCAAGGAGAAGGTAAGAACAGATTGCAGCACATTCATTTAGTGTTAGGAATTAATATTAGGGGTTTGTTCAAGGTTAGGGGTCAAGAGTAAAGGATTATGGTTAGGTTTTAGGGTATCAACTGTAAGGTTATTTTTTAGGGTTACGTTAAGGTCCAGCTAATCTTAAGGGCTTTGTGTCAAGAGAAGGTTAAGCACTAGAGGTTAACTTAGAGGTTATGTTAAGTTTTAAGACATGGGTGCAGGTGGAGCCTGATGAGCCATGCCTATGTGAGATCTTCGTGCAATACACCTTGACTTTGCTCTTGTCCAATTCTGACCTCACCTTTAGGTTATGAGAGACCCCTTCATAATGGCCACAGCAGGTGTGCAGACCCAATATCTCTGCAAATGAGCAGGTGTGCACAGATTTCATCAATAGAATCCCTAAGATACATAAGAAATTTTCAGGTGGTTAAATTCTTCAGCATCTACTAAAAACTGAAATATCAATGTGGGTGGACTGACCCTTTAAGGTTAGGAGTCACGAGGTTTGGAGGCTCACTTAACCTTTTAATTTGTCTTTGGTCCTGCATATGTACCCATTGGGAATAACCTTGGTCTTATTAAAATAGAAGATCGATTACTGCGCCCCATCACCAAAGATCAAATACACAGCACCTATCACAAAACAACCACTGTTTTGCATTATGCCAATCTGATAACACTTGGTACTTGTTACTCCATATTCCACTTCCCACCTCTGTTAGAAGATAACCCTTTGGTTATGTGCCTTGCCTTTCTAAATAAAGCTGATACTTTACAGTAAAACTTCATTAAATTGTAACTTACCTAAAATGTTTTCATGTCTCATGAGCACGGTTTGATAAATTTCTGTCTCTCTAAACCAACTTGCTTCCTCGGTGGTAAAGAAAACTTTGACTGCGACCTTCTCTCCTCGCCACTTGCCCATCCATACTTCCCCGTACCGCCCTTTGCCAATCTGTTTCACCATTTGAATCTGTTTTGCTATGGTCCTTTGCACCTACGAATGAGACCAAAAGCAATAGCATATTACTTACAAAAGCAAATGACCACCCACTATTAATATGACTATTCCAGAATAAATATCAGGGAATTTAAAAAATATCAGTGGAGATTTATTTTACTGCATGCCCCATTTCTATTTCCTCCCAAGAGTACCAAGAAATGTTACCATGGTGCTGTGCAGTCCGCCACTGTAAAATAAAATATGCTGTCATTTGGAGAAACACAGACGAAGGCTTTTAGCTAGGGAGATCTTGGTTCATTTACTGCCACCCACATGTATGGGCTTACTTTATCAGAAGTTTTAATGTGGAAAATGATTTAATAATGCATTGCAATTGACACTGCCCTTTTCACTATTTTCATATGCTTTGAATTAGGAAAAATGTATGATTATTTTTACAGGAATAAGTGTTAGAATTCAACTTTTTTCAAAATGTGTGGCAGTATTCAAGCTGGGTGCACAACACTGTTTAACAAGAACCCCACCAGGTACTATCTGACTACAATGTACTAACTGACAAACTACTATCTTAAAGGAGAACTATGAGGTGGGTGATTTTCACTCATCCTCATAGTTCTAGCCGACCTGTGACAATGAAACTGTCACAGGTCGGCTCAGTAGATCGGGAAGTGAGCGAACACATACCGGCGCTCGCTCACTTCTCGATCCTATCACAGCAGAGCACCGTGACAGGGGAGTGACTGGATCCGCCCACCCCTTTCCCATCCTCCAGCGCTGACTGGCGGAACGGACGGGGGAGGGGGCAGTACAGCTGGCTCTGCATCTAGATAGGTAGATCCAGCTGTCACTCACGCAGCTGGGCGGATCCAGACATAATTGTCAGGATCCGTTTCAGCTGCGGCGTCTCAGTATACCACAAGCTGCAGCTTAGCTTAGGGTGACGGGAGGACGCTAGTTTGTGTCCTCCCGTTACCCTTAGGAGAACTATGGGGAAAAGCCATAGGCCCATAGTTCTCCTTAAAGAATAACTTTAGATCCCTCTGTTGAGGTCTTTGTGAACTGTGTTATATAATTGTATTTTGTACCCTTCCTCCCCAAAGATGTATACTTGCCTAGACCGCATATTGAGGCCAGCAGCATTGTTTACATCATTTGCCCAATGTCTGCGCATGTGCACTTCGGCCTTACATACTTCTATGTGGGTGGTAGATGGATAGGAGTCAATCTGTTTCTCTGCCTCATAGAAGCTAATAGGCCCAACTGTGCATACATGCAGTTATTTTAGAATTATTGATAAATGTCATAATGGGAGTACTGGTGTCACCTGCCTTCTAGTGTGTTCTCCATAGGAAACAATGGAATTTAATATCCTTTACTGCTTGTTGAAGCTTTAAAGCCTCATTCCACCAAAAATGAGGAATGATGCTTTCAGCTTTAATTATATTTATGTTGTGGGAAGAATTCTAGTTAAAGAACCATTTTTAAAGAAAATTCATGTGTCAGTAATCAGTGCAATGCTATGTATTGTTTAATTACATTTGCATCCTAGATCAATTCTCTGCTGTTCTTTCATTTAAAATAAGCACTAATCAATGGTACTGCTGCTGCATATTAAGAAGATTTTCAGGAGCAGCCATACAAACAGAACAGTTTTGTCTTTGGAGTATTGATGCTGATATGGACATTGATCACTATGGTGCAATACTAATATAGCAGAAATGTAGATATCTAATATCCACGGTCGCACAGACGTTTGCAATACAGCCATGGCTACTTTATGGTTTTATTATCCTTGAAACCCTTATTGAAACTGACTTTTACAGGGTAATTCACAAAAGGGTGAAGAGTTTGGAGAAGGCAGGAGAAGTGAACAATCTAGGACAACATAGCTGAACTGGAAAGTGAGCTGAATTGGAGAATTTTTCCAAATCAGCTATTTTGGCCGAGATTGTTCACTTCTCCTGCCTTCTCCAAACTCTTCACCTTTTTGTGAATAACCCTGTTAATGTTCTTTAAGATGTTCTTTTACACTTATAACAATTGACAAAATACAGTAACTTGTCAATCAGCCCCTGGGCACAGATTTCAATCACCCCACACATTCAAAGCTATGTGTGTGTGTGTCATAATCCATATTGACACACATTGGACACATGCACTGTGCATGTTTCGGGGGCTCCCTCATTCATTTCTAATGAGCCCCCAATGCACAGCCATACAGCAAAACAATGCATTTTACTCTCAATGCACCATAACACATACATCTGAAAATATGTCTATAGGAATCATCAAAACCATGTAAAACATCAATATAAAAATGGTCTAATTCCTTAATTAAAATGGCACTCGGAACGTAAGAAATAAGAATATTTAAAATTTGGCATTCTGCATTATTCTATTAATTTTGCTTTAATGAAAATGTTTTAGTGACAATAATGAATGTGAATGTAAATAAGTGCTACCACTTTCTTACCAGCAGAGGGAGCCCCGAACCACTTCCAGAGCTTTGAGATTGTTCAATTAGATCTTTTAGGGATTCTCCTGAAGGAATATATGTTTCATCCTGTTCTAGTCCAATGCTGTAACGGGGTCTGGCTTCTTGTCTTTTATACCTGTGAGTGCAAAACTGTCTGTAAGTCTGCAGTGTGATTACATACAATTATATTAATTATGTTTCTGTAAGACCAACAACAAAATTCATGGATAACACACAGTATTCTTTCCAGATGAATGATATAAGAATATTTGGAATGAGCTGTTAACAAATGTGCACGTCAATCTACCATAAAACTTTAACTGAAGAATTTTGTCTCTGACATTTCTTATAAATTGAATAAAGTGGACCTGAACTTAAAAAGTTAGGATTTATTATCTTATGGGAACAGAAACATTAATTATACCTGAGCAGTATTGGGAAAAATCTACCTTTTGCCTTGAATTCCTTCCAAATAATAGCAGTGCATTCCCTGTGTCTTCAGCACAATACATGTGTATCTGCTGTATGAGATCATCTAAGGCATTCTGTCTCTGATTGCTAGCTTCACAAGAGTATGAAATGAGATGTGGTGATGTCGCTACTGTGCAGCTCATTTTTCTCCTTGCTGGGGAGGACTTTGTACCAGTAATCTCCCTGCTTCTGCTTGATTCATTCTGTCCATATGTGCTTCCTGCAGCATTCCTTCTGACGTAATGCCATTTACTGGTAGATCTCTCACTAAAAACAACTGTTGGCAAAAAATCTACTCCTGAGGAATCAATTTGCAGATTCCAAGTCCAACTATTATTTTTATCCCCTGCAACTGTCATTGATACTAAGAAAACCACCAGCAGAAGATGGTTTTTTTCTTCTGTCTGTCTATGAAGGGATATGAAAGGCTGCCAAAAGTCTGTAGACTCATGGAGACAATGAGCACCTCTAATATTCAGAAACGATCAGTAACACATACCAGGACCTATACAATACAGTTGCTTCTACTAATGCTGAAGTTTGCCACATCACATCATAAATATTCAGAGACATATGGGCACTCTACTCAGACAAAGGTTGACATCTATAAGGCCCCTTTCACACGGGCTGATAAGGAGTATGTGCACGTGCTTGTGCAGGGCCCCTTTCCTGATCATAGCAGTACGGAGCGGATATCACCGCTGAGACATCTGTGTCTGTACAGTTTTTTCCCTTTATTTTGCGATGGAAAAAACTGCAATTATCGGGCAGTTTATGGTGGATCGGATTAATCGGACATGTGTCCATTTACATCAGATTACCCCCAATCTGGCACTGCACAATGGAACACTGTTCCATTCATTTTACCAGACCCGGACGGAGGCAACATAGACTTGCATTGGGCATCCAAATGGGCCCGCCTAAAAAAAAACCCGATTGAAGCAGCTGTGCAAAAGGTGCCGAAGGCATAAGAACATATGGTTAGAGTAGTGCTGTGGTCAGGCCGCAGATCTTCAAATATTTACATATTCTAAAAAAGTAGTCAACAAGCTTTAAATCAAGCCCTCACAACCTAGTTAGCTGCAGACATTATGGAGCAATTCATCAAGTTCACAATAGAAGAATTGAAGTCCTTTAAGACAGGTCCCAGAACATTTCTCTCTCCTTTCTTCCTGTGTACCAACTCCATATTTACATAGGGATTCCAAAGTTGGCCTTGCTTCTGCTGATTTGGAAGAGCAGGTGGAGCTGATGAAACAGAAAGTACTTTCTGGTGTCAAATTTAAAGATGAATTGTTCCAAAGTGTATGCAGCTACAGGCATTTTTTATCACTGACAATCACCTACTGCTGAAGAAGATCTAACATAGAAGAGGACCTATAACCTCACACAACTGGCCTAAATACATCTGTTACTGGTAATTAGTTAGAAAAAAATCATAATATACAGTTGGTGGGGGCTTCTGTGTTGGAAGCACTGAAGTGGAAAGCTGGAGTTGAGTTTTAAATGTCCATGGCCTGTCCACAGTTCTACGTAAGGTCAAGTTGTGCATCAAAGTTTTAAACTGCTGATGATGTCTAAACATCGTTTGCAAAAAGTTTTAGGAAACTGATAAAAGATTAGCAATATTTCTATATACACCCAAAAAACATGACACATGAGTAAAAAATTCTGACTAGCATAGATTGCTCTATAAAGAAAGCATAATGTAAACATGCACATTTAGGGTAAGTATGCATGTTTATGCAGTCAGCAGATGCCCTTAAGAACAAGCTAAGGAGAACAAATGCAGAGAGCGACCATCAGCTCTCTGCATATGTCTACTCATAGACACAAGAAACAAGTTTTCTGATCTGATGGTACTTGGCAAGCAAGTGCAATTTTCCATTACTTTCCATCAGCGACAACAACAAAAAAGAGTTAAACATCTTCAACTTGATGTTTAAAGAATCTGAACATATACCAAACACTGAATTCTCTGTGCATGGCTTCACATGATAAGGTTGTTTTTACCTGAAGTAGCAGAATATTAAGATCACAACCAGAATGATGCTGCACACAGTCACTGAGATGAAAAGAGCCATGTAATGGATGCTGCCGTCAACAAAATCTAAGGAGGAGAAAAAAGGAGCACAAGGGTTAAACATGCACTCAGCAACCACTGGGCCCCTGTAAACCAGGGCCCAAATATGTTATCACCTACCATATACAAACATGCTACTTCACAAGCTGGTTAAATTCCACTAATGCATACTAAATTCCACTATGTATGATTAATAATAACATATAAATGTCAGGTGTGAAATGCTGTGGTTTTGGAATACTTACACTTGCAGAGCATTCACTTCCTGCTTTGAAAGGGCAAAATGACTTCAGTTTGCCAAATCAATGCACACTGCGATTGCCTTGTCATCAGCAGAGCATTGCTGGAAAATGTCATCTGTAATCTCACGAGATGTCAGGGAAAGGCATTTTCCTCCCCTGGGATGACGTGTATGGTCACATGTCCTAGTCACATGTCTAGTCACATGTGCCAGAAATCAAGGAAGTAAAATGAGAGCTAGTAATCTACTCTTAGTAAACATGGGCACTGCCAGAAGACTGGGAAAAATAAGGTGTGCAAAGAATACAAAGGCAATTCATCTAGATGTATGTGTTTGTAGATTGTCATTACTAAACATTTCTAAAGGTGTGTTTGTTTTTATTTTAAAGATATGGGTAAAGGTCTGCTTTAAGAAAGGAATCCTCCTCTATCATACAAAAAAATAATGATGATGCTTTTACAGCAGCAGTGAGGACGTAAGATAAACAGGGTCAGAACTTGTCTTCCTCAGGACCCTGTATGATTTAGCAAATACTGATTCAGCTACCCCTTTCTTTACCAAATATCACAGCCTACAGGCATATGCAACACAAAAGTCATACTTTATATATATACGAATAATAGTCACACATATATATACCAATAATAAATAAATAAAATACTTCCTTAATATAAAGCATAAAGCATTGCAATAGTAGGTTTTACAGAACAGAAACGGATAGTGCTACGTTTCACTGCTCCCTTCTGTTTCAAATTGCCTGGAAGTCAGAAGTACATAATTGGGTATCTGCAACTCTAATCACAAACTGAAGTAACCTACATGTAGGTAAAAAGATTACAAGCTCATTAAGAGAGCTAATGATATCTGCAAGATATTCCCAAATCAGAAATTTACATGCTCAGTTTGAGAAGCAGTGTTCTCTTTTTTAGCACTGCACTCTGCAATCATTTGTTGGACTCCAAGAAATCCCTGTGGAAGAAGCTCTTCTCCATCCATTTGGCTAAATGTCAGAATAGTATTGTTCACGTCTCTGCTTCTTCTGAGTTATTTTAGTGCTTAGAAAATGCATATACCCCCAAGATGGGACAGAGGGATATCTTTCAGGATTAGTTTGTAGTGCTGCTATTTGATCTAGTATCTTTGCTAGCTCATACTTTTGACACAAGGTACGTATTGGTTGAGAGGAAATTTAGCCTTAGTAACTTAGTAATTTGTTATGTTAGGGGTTAAGTCACAGTTAGGCATAGAGTCAGGAACTGATCATTAAGCAGTACATTTATTTGTATAGATCTATACACTGGACTGAAAAAGCAGGACAGCTTAGGAGGCAACAGGGACAGAGGGATTTGGTTCCAACACAGGGACATACACAGTCTGCCGTGTGAGCTTTCTTTTATAAAGAGATTAGCAAGATCAACAACTTCTTTCATCATCATATTCTAATACAGAACACAGGAAAATGAGAACTTCAGCTTTATCGACTCATCCTGCAAGGGCGCTATTATATTACAGATTTACGAGAGTAATGAGGCAAGGGCCTCCTTGGGGACCTCTTAGTTTACGCTTTTTTTTTTTAAAGACTCGCATTCTTTTGCCTTTTTATTTTTTTAAAACTCCTGCATGGGCTTACTTTAACCTCCGTGAAAAAAATTGAAAGAGAGGAGACATAACCTGCAGCACGCATTGCCATATCAAGCATATTTTACGGCTTTTGCCTTTTAATTGCTATCGTGTAGGTATGTGAAGCATATCAAAAGGCCCTTTGAAAAGAGACACTGACAAGATGCCTATCAGGAAAACACTCAGGCTCATCAGTCATTTCTCGCTTTGGCTGCAGCTCTCTACCTGTGCTCTGGCTGTAAGTGTGTGAGAGATGAAACAGAGAACCCACTGGGGAGGATGACTTTCTTTTGGAGAAAAAAAAGAGCAAAACACCAAACTGAAAGCTTCATTTCATGGTTTATTAACAGATTTTTTTTCTTAATGGCACCCACTTTGCTGTGAAGTGTGTGGTTTGTAACAGTTTAGGATGTCACTTTGAATCAGGAAGATAGAGATTGCAGACAACCTAAACAAAATAGCTTCTTCACCGGACAAGGGCAATTTAGAATTCCAGCAATTAATTATGTATATGTCTTACAATCACTAGTTGAGCTGCTGATAAATACATAATGCATAAGTCAATATGTGATGTATGCACAAAAAGTAAAAGATCTAAACTTAAAGGAACCCTGTCACCATACCATTCATTTCAATTACAATATTCCCATGAGACTAAGAGGGTTATTCACTTACCTGCTGAACCGAAGGATTCAGTCGAACCAAAGGGTTGCTGTATATGCTATTCCCAATAGCCCGTACAGGGCTATTCACATTGCTGTACAGGCTTTTTACATTAGTCCGTACAGCCACAAACGACAGCCGATGGCAGTCGAGCGGCTCAGCCGAGCCGTACGCATATGCTGAGCCATAGTGACAGCTGAAGTAGGGAGAAAGGTCAGCCAAAGCCGACCGTTCTCCCCGCAAATGAAAACAGCTGGACGGAGCCAACCGTGATATAATGGCTGGCTCTGCCCAGTTGCTGTCTCAATGACAGCCCAGCGTCTTCAAGGACACTGGGCTGTCATTAAATGACAAGAGCTGGGCGGAGCCAGCCGTGATGTCATGGCTGGCTCTGCCCATTTGTTTTGATTTGTCCGGTTCCTGTGGTCAGACTGTCAAGTGCCAGACAAATGTACATAGTTGTTTATATTTTGCCGGCATCTGTCAGAATGTCATTCTGCGGCGGGAGTTTGTTGCATGCGGACGAGTCAACGGGCGTCAGGTTTTTAAAAATGATTTTCTATGTATTTATTATTTTTATTTTTTTATTTTGCGGAGTCGTAGTCATTGTGGACAACGCTGGACGTCGTGATTGACCCTGGATTACTTAAGTGGATCAATTTTTGGGATTTTTTTTTCTTATAAAGGACTTGTCTGTCCTCTTGTTTTGAATTCTAATTGAACTGTTTAGTGAATGGGTAGGGGTACAAGTACCCCTTACTCATTCACAAGGGGGGGCACATTTGGGTGCCCCTTTAATATTACCCTGATGTGAATAAGCCCCCCTTCCCGCACCCGCACAAGCAACGCCCCTGGGCTTGTGGGGAAGAGGCCCTTGTCCCCATCGGCACATGAACAAGGTGCTTTTCAAGTGCTAAGCCTGGGCTCGGATCAAGGGTCTGGTTGGGAATTTTAGGGGGGACCCCACTTTTTCCCCTATTTTGGGGGGTGAGGTTCCTCCTTAAAATCCTTACCAAACCTAAAGGGTCTGGTATGATTTTGGAGGGGGACCCCACGCTGGTTTTTTTTTCTTTAAATTTTTTTTCTCATTTTCTCCACTTTTTAAATGTTTTCTTTAAATTTATTTAAATCATTTAAAAAAAATGTCTTTTGTTTAAATTTTTCTATTCTGCTCGCTACCTCGGAGGTAGCGAGCAGAATAGCCAAGCTATTCACTCACTGCCGTTCGGTCCCTATGAGAATCGGGGCGAACGGTAGTAAGTGAACTGCCAGAGCTTTGGCTCCGCAGATCCAGATGTTGGATCAGATTAGTCGAACGGTTTCTGCACTTTGGCTCAGCCGAACATGTAAAGCATGTTCGGCTGACTGAAGCCAGCCAAAGGTCGACGATGTATGGCTGAAATCAGCCGTACTGAGCCGAAGTGAATAGCCAGATGCCGTTCGGCTCAGTTCACTGCGGCTTGGTTATTAGTTCGGCTGCCTTCTATATGTACAAATAACTTAGTTTAAGTATGCTATTTACCTGTAAAAGCCTCCCTTGTGTAGACATTCAAAAGGCGTGAGGGTTCTGCTGTGTGTGGCCATCTTGGGTGTGATGTCAGCAGCCCAAGCAGACTCAGAGTTGTCACTCAAGAGACACTCTATAGCAGGGCAGGGGTCTGCAAATGGCGGACCATGGTTCGGATATGGACTGAGCGGCTGGTCCATCCGGACTGTGGTCACCAATGCCATTCAGTGTCCCACTGAGCACTGAAAAGGACGGAACAGTATCCATCCTCTTCAGCTGCCCATAGCCGCCTCCGCTTCCCAGCTTCTTGGCCCCTTCCAACTCTGCCCTCAACTCCTCCCAACTCCGCATCGTGGCTCTCCTTCTAGGCTCCCTGCTCTGCCTGCAGCTCCTCCCAGCTTTGCCTCTTGGACAGCCAGAGTAAGGGGGCACTTTGATGGGGACAGCCAGTGTAAGGGGCCCCCCGATGGGGACAGCAAGTGTAAGGGGGCACTCATACGGGGACAGCCAGTGTAAGGGGGCACTCTGGTAGGGATAGTCAGTGTAAGTGGGCACTCTGATGGGGACAGCTAGCGTGAGGGGGCACTGATGGGGACAGCTAGTGTAAGGGGGCACTCTGATGGGGACACTCTGCGGCATCTGATGGGGACAAACAATGTAAAGGAGCACTTTCATGGGGGAAAAACAATGTAAGGAGACATTTTGATGGGGAAAACAATGTAAGGGGACACTCTGATGGAGATAAGCAATGCAAGGGGGCATGCTGATGGGGACAAACAATGTAGGGGGGCACTTTGATGGAGAAAAACAATGTAAAGGGACACCCTGATGGGGACAAACAATGTAAAGGGGCACTTTGATGGGGGAAAACAATGTAAGGAGAACTCTGATGGGAACAAACAATGTAAAGGGGCACAAACAATGTAAAGGAGCACTCTGATGGGGACAAACAATGTAAAGGAGCACTCTGATGGGGACAAACAATGTAAAGGGGCA